GGGTGACAGCAGGGCCAGCCTCGGGGGGCCGTGGGGTGGTCGGCTCCTGGGCCCCCCAGGGGAAGAGGCTGGCCCAATGGCGTACATACCGGGTCGCAGGGGCGGCCGGGCCCCCTGATGGGCCGGGCCCGGTCGCAGCCGCGACCCCTGCGACCCTGGTATGTACGCCACTGCCCCTCCCTACATAAGGTAAGAAGGGAGGGGGGATATTTACTAATCTGCCCCCACCTCCACAATCCCTCCAAACATACAGAACACATACACACATACAGCACCCACACACATACAGCACCCTTAAACAAACAGCACCCACACACATACAGTACACTAACCGCACCCTCACAAACACACACAGCACCTTTACAAACACACAACACCCTCACACACAGCACACTAACAGCACCCTCAAAAACACACACACACAAACAGCACACTCACTAATACACAACACCCACACACATCACACAAATGGTAACATCACACACACGCACACATCACACAAACAGCACCCTCACACACACAGCACCCTCACACAGCACAGTAACAGGACCCTAACAAACACACACACACAAACACCCTCACACACAGCACACTACCAGCACCCTCACCCACATAGCACACTACCAGCACCCTCACACACACATCACACACTAACAGCACCCTCACACCACCCTCACACAGCACACTAACAGCACACACACACACACAGCAGTGTGTGTGTGTATATATATATATATATATATATGTGTGTATGTGTATAAATATATATATATATATATATATGTGTATATATATATATATATATATATATATATAATACATATATACACATGTGGCGTGTGTTTGTGCTTTAGGGTGCACACCCTAATGCAATAGGCTGGTTTGGAGTGAGTAAAGATAGTAAACACTACACCAACCAATTGATTTATCAAATTTAAAAAGTGCACATGACAAGCTTGATAGAGTGAGCATTTCAACTTTTATTTATTTATATAGCACATTTAATTGCAACGTTGTTGCCCAAAGTGCTTCACAGTTACATTAAAACATACATTGATAAAAACATTAGCAGGTGTACAAAAGGCCCTGTCTATGACATCACTTGCTGCTGCAGCCTGGCACAGGTCAGAGTATTTTGGCGGTTGCCATCTTCAAACTGTCGTATTTTTAAAACTATAAATCCTACATCGAAGAGCTTTATATTGTGAGAATCACAAGACCCAGACCTACATTTTGATGCATGTCTCTGAAGTATTAAAAATGAAGGCACAGTCGCAGTTTAGAAATTGCCCTTCAAATTTGAGCTGGCTAGAGTGGCGTTTCAATGAATGTCAATGGAAGGTGTGAGTTGCAAACAAATGGTCATAGTGTGAAAACTATCAGGACTATGGGTTAGCTGTGGACATTGTTAGTGGCAGCAGGGATAGCCGAATGTTTTGATATAAGATTTGTGTAGGTGGGCTTGAAAATGAGGGAGTGGTGGCAGTTTAGAAATCATGTCCTGATTTTTCAGCTTTTGCCAGCCCCCACTCTAGCTTTGCCATTCATTCCTATGGGAGCAATTTTGCCACAAGAACGAAGATATTCCGTGAACCATTTGGCGAAACGTTCCACAAAGTAATAGCAATCCAATCGGGAACAGTAGATTCTACTAACTACCTGCCTTTAATTGTGACAGATTATAGTAGCTAAACTCAAGAGGCAGCAATTAATCAGAGCACCTGTCTTACAAACATCTTTTATTGAGCTGTTTTGGGAAGTCTATGATTGGACAGCCCAGAAAGTCTGGGCGGGGATAGAAGGGAAGGGCTTACATAGGGAGTGGACAGAGAACTGTAGGTTTTGCAAACTGTTTTTAGATATATCCCCAATGAAAAAATGCATGGTAAAATATATGCAATTTTTAATTTGAGGTGTATCTAACAGTGATTTTTAATGAGTTTTGTATTCGGGCAGGGGATGTCCTTTTAAGGTATCTGATGAGGTCACAGCATTGTGGTGATGTCATTGACAGTTTAGGCTATATATATATCTGCTGCCCAGGACCTACCTTAACAGTTATTACTGTATAACCATGGCAGAAAGATTTGCAAGAGAGAAGAAGCAGATGTTTCCAGCTCTTTCGAGAGAAACAACACATGGCAAGGTGAATGGGGGTTATGTAATCACTAAATCTATGCACCCCCCTGCCCATTTGACCTTCTAACCCAATTCCTTTCCTTTTTATGCCCAATGTATGGTGATAAGTATAATTATTAAGATCCATATGGACCCCCCATATAAGTATATTTTTGGTGACTAATTTGATGCCTCATGATCAGAAAAAATAAAATGGAATGTGAATAGTCATAGAAGGGATTACTTTACCTATATATGCATGCATTAAATCGTTATAAAATGATTCTCTATTTTATGCATCTTCTATTAGAGCCAGGCCAACACAGAGAAATACATCTTCGGGGATCAAACTCCCACCATGTCCTAATAATCAGATTCCGATGCTCACCCCAAATCCCTTGGAAAAGGTATACACTACAATTTAAATCCATAGTCTGATTCAGATTAGGAAGGGAACATTTTACAGACACTGTCTGTAAACCTGAGATTTTTATTACATTTTCGTTTTCTTGATGCTTTTTGTTTTTTAGTTTATTGTGGATGTCATTCTCCAACAAAGTATAAATTATTTTAAAAAATCACATTAATATGTATATTACATATGTCCTGCAATCTACATTAGCTGAATTTCTATTTGTTTAGGTGGATTTCATTAGAGCACCCCCAGCAGAACAATTTGTGAATGTTCCTTCTGGAGTAAAATTTCCAGTGTGTCCTAAAAAGCCTGTCCAGTTCTGTACCACCAAGCTCTCGGAAACGGTTTATATTATTTAATACTAATCCAGACTAGTAAGCAGATATTTTCAAGACAATTGAAATAGGGCTACGGATTGATATAAAGGGTTATATATTTAATGCCAAACCATGAAAATGATCAATTAAAGTAAGCATTAAAAGATTTTATGAATTAGTATCTCACATCAATCATTAGTTCTATTGTAGATTATTAACTCTTCTACCAAATAACAAAATAGCTGAAGTGGATAAGCATTAGTCTAGAACCTACTATGTTTAACCTTTCAAACAATCTCCAATTATTTTTTATATTGGTTGTTTTATGCTAATGAGTGTTCTTCAGAATAGGTTTACAGAATGAGTGCAAAAATGTTTTATGTTATAATGTTTTTGCAGCTTTATAAGCAAAGTCCATAATTTGACCTTGAGGATCTATATTGTCGTTTGATGAAGACAACCTACAATAACCTGCATGACCCATACTTAAAAGAATATTGCCAGAGTAAAGTACCACAACAACGTATACGTCAGTAGGGATTTATCACCAGTGATGATAAGGTAGGATAAAAAAACAAAAACAAGCTATATGCCACTACCATTTAATTTTACACTAACATATTGCATA